CTTTAAGCGCAGCCCTCGGCTAGTCTGAGACAGCATCTCCACGCTCTAAGTCCTCCTCTGATGCCCTGCCGGCACTGCTTCCAGCCATCCTTAAGCCCGGTTCAGGGTCCACTTAATGTGGACATGCTAGTTCAAATTAGCAAAACGCTAATTCGAACTAGTTTTTAGTTCTAGATGCGTTAGTTCGAATTAGCTTAGTTCAAATTAACTAATTCGAACTAAGTTAGTTCGAATTAGCGCTGTAGTGTAGACGTACCCTCAAATCATGGCTGTAACTAGTTTTAGGAATAAATTTGAAATACAGTCTTTGTAGTATACAGTTGCTGGTGCCTGATTTGGGTTTGAGTTGGAGATCCCTGATCTAAGCAATGATTTTGGCCCATTGGTTGAGGACAGTATATCACTCCTCATAATGCCATCTTTTCTGACCATGAATTTTGCCAACTGCCTATCCCACTTACCATGGATTAGTGGAGGGGCAGGATGTTTTTTCCTATGAGGGACCACTGACATCCCCAGAAAAAAATCATTTGTGGGCCACATCCGGCCTTGCAGAGAGGAGGACATGGAGTCTCACGGCTTCCCCTAGGCTCTGTCATGAATCCAAAAAGGAGGTGTTCAGGATATCTGAGGGGGCTCCAAGAGGGGCTTGGACTGGGAGGGGTTTGGGGTCTGAGGTAGGGCAGGGAGATGACGGGCTTGGGTGCAGGAGGAGGCTCTGATCTGGGGCAGGCAGATAGGGTGCAGGAGGAGGTGTGGGGTGCTTATCTCAGGGATCTCTTGTTGGTGACGCAATTGCCCTCTTTAGGCCCCCCCCATCAGCAATCCTAGTAGTCAGCACGTCCCTGCGGGGGCGGGTGGCTCTAGCACTGCCCTTGCCTACTGGTTCCACCTCTGTAGCTCCCATTGTCTGCAGTTCCTGGCCAATGGTAGCTATGGGGGCAGCACCTGCAAGTGAGGACAGCATGTGGAGTTTCCTTGATCTCCAAGATCCAGCATTTGCAATTCCAGCCCCACACATGGAGAACCAAGGCTCAGGGACCTATGGTGTATGCTTTCCCTGCAGTTCCACTCCTCTCCAAAGTCAAGCAAGATTCCACTCACTTTATTTTAATAGCGCCAGTGGCCATGTCGGCAATGACTTTGCTAGCCTTGTCAGTCAGACCTCTTCTGTTGCTCCTGTGAGATGTGGATGTGACATCCCAGGATCACGGTCAGCTTCTTCATTCCAACTTCAGTCCTTTCACCTGACAAAAAGCAGTGGCATGGACATGTGGAACACATCTCCAAGAACAACTATTATGGAAAGATAGGTGTCTGGTTTTTAACAGTGGTGATGTCTGCGTGTCAAAAATTGTCATTTAGGGTGAATGTGTTTCTAGTCTGACTGCGGCACTTTAAGTCTTGATTACAAGTATTAAAACAAGTAATTAGGAATCAGCTGCCATTCAGGTAATCCCTATAGAATTATGCTCAAGATAAGATATTTATAAGATTCAGAAAACTGTGTATCACTTATTTCGAAGTCCCACCTCCATCTGCCCAGGAGCTATACATTAAAAGCAGGCAGGCACTGTAAACTCTAAAAATAAATAACCTGTTATATATCTTTAAAAGGACAGATATCCTGAACTGTTGGTTTAAGGGGGAATGGCATTTAAAACCTCTGTTTTATAGATTATTATGTAGCATATATGGGTATTCTGCTGCCAAAGTATGGACAAAGGAGATTCTCTTTTCCATTCTGTGCACTTTGTTTGGAAACCTCCAAGGTATTTCTGTCAAATTTCTGTTAAAATCTGACTGCTGAGGCTGAATGTGCTGTAGGCTGAAGTTCTCAGTTCCACAGAGAATTCAGAAAGATGTGTGTGTGTAAATTCAGAAAACCACATAGCTTTTGAATTAAAACAGTATTTTAAAATAATATGCAACTATTTTAGTTAAAATCATATCCTGACTACCAGTAATACACACAAAGAGCCTGTTGTCTAGAAGATGCTGCTTACATAAGAAATAAATCATCCTGAATATGCTCAGCAGAAAGCAACCTGATATATATTGTGGATTATTTTTCAACGTTTTGTTATGTATGTTCCATTTGGGTATTTAATTTATAGACTGTGATACAAATACAGGTGCAAGCATGAGTGTACAAAAAAGTTTCATTCCATCATCTCATCTTGTACATGCTCATAAACCACCAATGTGACAATGGAACAGCACTGAAGTCTGTTCAGGGTATTAATCTTATCCTCACTTGGCACATATATAATGCTCAAATGTTCTCTGTCAGAAGTAAAATCTCCTCCTATCAGGGTTTTAATATTTAAGCTATCGAGCCTAGAGGATCAGACTTGGGGCACATTTCATTATGTTCTGATTTGAAAATGAGTTTTGGTGATGACTTATACACTCATAATATACTATACTGTAGGAAACAATCCTCTACTGACAAAGTCATGGATATCTTTTTATATCTTCAGAGTTAGTGTTTTTCCTTTTGATATTTCCATACCCTCTGCTCCATGTTTCCTGCCCCCCTCCTTTTTTTCCCTTCTCACCTATTTATTTTGGGTTTGCACAAAACTCCTGTCATCTGACGAAGTGGTCTTTGCCCACAAAAGCGCATGATACCATCTACATGTTTTGTTAGTCTATAAAGTGCTACCAGAACATTTGTTGTTTTTTAAGTTTATCTTGTTAAGTTACTGTTACTTAAGTTACTCCTAAGAATGGTGGAAATTACTTGCAGTTATAGAGTATAATTATGTTCTACTTTGTTACTGAAACTTTTGTTATAACTAATGCATTTGTTTTTCTGCTCTCACTTTTTTTCCTTTTCCTACCTTGCCCACACTAACACATCTGCAAATCAGTTGGATCTATTAAAGAGAGTTTTAGCACCAGATTTTCTAAGTGGGTTCAGAAATTGTGGCTGCAAACATTTGGGCACACAGAATCCATTTTCAGAGGCCAGCTACAGTTAGGCTATGTATAGACTATATCCCTTTTTCGTAAAAGGGATGTAAATTAGACGTATCGCAATTGCTAATGAAGCGGGGATTTAAATCTCCCCTGCTTCATTAGCATAAAAATGGCTGCCGCTTTTTTTCCGCACGGCGCTTTGCTGGAAAAAAGCACCAGTCTAGATGCTGATCTTGTGGAAAATAAAACCTTTTCCAAAAGATCCCTTATCCCTTATTATTTCATAGAGTGATAAGGGATCTTTCAGAAAAGGCTTTATTTTCCGCAAGATCAGCGTCTAGACTGGCGCTTTTTTCCAGCAAAGCTCCATGTGGAAAAAAAGCGGCAGCTATTTTTATGCTAATGAAGTGGAGGAGATTTAAATCCCCGCTTCATTAGGAATTGCGATACGTCTAATTTACATCCCTTTTACAAAAAAGGGATGTAGTCTAGACGTAGTCTTAGAGTATAGTAGTCCTACCGCTTAAATTTTCAGAACAACAGCCTTGTCACTTGCTTTAGGCTTTTGGTACAAGGATTCCAACTGCTGTTGCTAGTTGGCATTAGGGACAATGGAAACAGTTATAGGAATAGATACATAATTACCATATATTTGGTGATAATGTCCTACATCTGCTCTTTGCCTTTTTTTTAGGGTCATGTCTGCACTACGAGACTAGTCCAAATTTACTAAGTTCGACTTCTGGGCCCCCTGTTATATAAATTCAAAGCTCTGCATCCTAACAATGGGGAAGAATTGAATATAGTCCGAGGCAGGCTCCATTAATGAGGATGCACTAGGTCAGACTCAGAGCACCAGAAAACATTCTGGGGAGCTGCAGGAGGCCTTCCAGAGGCTAAAAAGTTTGAATTAGTGGCACCGGAGTGTCCACACTGACGTTATTTTGGACTTACAAGTTTGGGAATAGCATTATTCCTTGTGAAAAGCAGGAGTACAGAGTTCGAATTCCATGCCCCTTATTACGGAATGATGGGCTTGGTAGTGTGGACACACTGCTTATGAATTTGACATTGGGGGGCTAATTTCAGACTAAGGTCCTAGAGTAGACCTTTTCTCTCTTTTCCCCCTCCTGTCTTCTTTCTCTTTGCCCTTTGTGTTTCTATTTTTCTCCCCTTTCTACCACTTATCCTTTGTTTGCCTTCCTGTTTCCATCTCTCCAGCATCTCTGACCATAAGTCAGCCAAGTGGCTGCAGTGCACTTATTTCTGTGCTGCAAAGCCAGGCTGATCCTAACCTACTTGTATTATGGGCAGGCTTTCCATAAACTATTCAGCCTTTGCTGGCCTGGAGCCAATGGTTCTGGTACATCTGTGCACACTTCACAGTGATATGTACATGATTAAAGAGAGCATGTGGAAAATATTTTCGAGAGAGTACTTATAAGAATAATTCTTCTCTGGGGTGTCTTTGAATAATACTGTTGCATTATTCAACTCCCACTATGGTGAGAAGCTGAGTTGCCAGTATGTAATCACTCTGGCCCGTATGCACCCTATGTGGAGAAGCAGCATCTCTGTTTGTGCGTATGGGCCAGAGTGATTATATACTGGCAACTCAGCATCGTAGCTAGTAAAATAAACCATTACTGTAAAACATGACAAAATGCTGGCCTTTGGATCTCCCTCAATCATGGAGGGAGAAATACAGGCATTGACTCTACCTGGAATTAGCCCTCATTTCAGTGGCCAACTACAGGAGTAGCTGCACTCATGCAAACTCCAAGCCTAGACAAAAAGATACAAAAAGAACTGAAAAGTTTCATTTCACACTGGATGATCATGCTTTGGTTTCAAGTAGCTATCCCAGTTGCTGGCCACTGATTCCCAAGTATAGGCAAGATTTCCATTGCCGTACCCCATGCTTTCTTCCCTTTGACCTTCCAAGTTTCAGAGGAGATTTACTAGATTATTGTGAGAAAACATATGTTCATGAAAAAGATGTAAAGCTAAATGGCCAAATTCTAACTTCAGTTGTTGCTATGCAATCTCTTTCATTTCAGCTGGGTTGTACTGACTCAATTGTGTGATTACTCTCATACTGACAAATTAGGGGAAGGTTTCCCATAAATATCTTCCCTTTGCATTGTTGTATCAAACCAAAAGAGAGCAAAAAGCCTCTAATTTTAATATGGTAGATGAAATAATATTCTAACATACATTTCCAGGAAAATGTTGAAGGAGAAAACTGTGATAATTGCAAACCAAGTTTCTTCAACCTGCATCAAGATAATCACAGAGGCTGTGAGGAGTGTTTTTGTTCAGGGACAACAAACATCTGTACAGCTTCTCACTGGACCTATAGTAAGGTAAAAATAATAGCAAACATCATAGTACAAATATGTCATTGGTTATGTTTTTGCTGTCATTTAAAGCCTATCTTGTACACTGGATATTATCCTAAGACCTGCAGGCATATTATATGCAATGTAGGTCTTTTTAGATATTCTAAAGAAAAGGATTTCTTGCACCCAAGACTGAATCATTTTTTGTTTTCATTTTGAAAATGTTCTGAAATCAGCACTGTGACTGATACATAGAGAAACTCAGAAATATCTCTCAGAGATGAAGCTGTGAGTGTAAAACAGTCATGGAATGTGTAAGGGGAGAAATATGAACACGAGGGTAATTGTGAAGTGTTCACAGGGCTGCCACTTTTCTGGGTGTGAAATAAATCTCCATGTAGACAAAAATTGGTTCATTAAGATTTTACACTTACATATATAAAATTTATGTAAGAAATATCTTTTAGAGGGGCATGTAAACAGTAAGGCTATGTCTACACTCGTGGCTTCTTGCGCGAGTAATATGCAAATGAGGCTAAGCATGGAATATCGCCGACCCTCATTTGCATACCTAATGAGCCACCATTTTTTTTTCAGAAGAGGCTCTTGCGCAAGAAGGAGCGTCTACATTGCCCCTTGTTGCACAAGAAAAACCCTCTTGCGCAATGCCGTTACACCTATTACTTTCCAGGAAGAATGGCATTGCGCAAGAGGGTTTTTCTTGCGCAAGAAGGGGCAGTGTAGATACTCCTTCTTGTGCAAGAGCCTCTTCTGAAAAAAATGGTGGCTCACTAGGTATGCAAATGAGGCTCAGCAATATTCCATACTTAGCCTCATTTGCATATTACTTGCGCAAGAAGCCGTGAGTGTAGACATAGCCTAAGGGTCTTATGTCTTTGATGAATTTCTTCTGTACAATATGAATATAACAATCAAGTTGAAAGTAGAGTGAGCCTCTCAATGGTCTTACTTGCAAAAGCATATATTGTACTTTAGCGAATATAACCCACGGATTATGCAAAGTTTTACATACCCCGCCCCTTCCCCCTACGGGCCATACTCATCCGTGTGTAATACAGGTTTTTCTTTTTAGTGAAAGGAAGACAAGACTGACTCTTACTTGAGAAAAGCCGCATATTTTAATTTAATAATAGAGGCAGTTATATTAAAATTCATTAAAATACATTAAAATTCATTAGTTTACTGTGCAACTAGAAAAAGAATAAAAACAATTTAAAAAAAGCCGTCTTCGCATTCTCATTCACTCTGATCTCTAGAATCAGCGCCAGCGTCCTCCTCCTCAGCGTCTGAGTTCTCAAAACCATCAAAACTATCGTCATAATCACTGTCTTTAAAAACATCCATAAAATCCATAGTCAAGACTAGGTCGGCTTCGGTGACAGTTGAGGTCTGTGGTGCAGAATCAGAATAGCTGTCGTACTCGGAATCAGAGCTTGAAGAGTCAATGTTGGGAAGAATTTCACATTTGCCACTACATACAATTTAAAATCGGCTGTGTAGGATTTGCGCTTAGGCATATTTAAAGGTTTAAAAAGTTTAAAATACGAGTTAAAACCACTGAAGGAATAAATGCATGGAAAAGCAGTGTGGTTCAAAGGGGTTATATACCAGTGATAAGGGTTGTAGCCTACTTAGTGCTTGGCGTTATCAGCTGCGGCTCATTAACACTTGATTACAGGTGCTTTGCATTAACATTACCAGAGGTTCATCTCCCAGGGGCCATACACATGCATGGGGTATACAAGACTTTTTTTACTCAATCAGGGAAAACAGCGAGTTATACACAGGTGCGGGTGATACTTGTGAGCGGGTTATATGCTCTAATTTACAGTAGTAGAGAATATTTTTTGTACAAGCATGCCCTATACTTTCAATAAGGTAACAAAGCCTGGATATCAGTTTCTTTATAAAAGGGCTATAATATTTAACCATGTCTATAATGCTATCTGGGAAAACCTGTTTCAGATTAAATAGCTACCTGTTTGGTAGTTTGGTATATGGTAATTCTGGAAGTAAAGCAATCTCCCTGGTGTACTCATCTACATATTGGTCTCCAGAAAGCATTTCCAGCTCACCGCTGAGCCATTTCATAGCTCTGCTGGTATCCAGGCTCCAGAAACCAACCAAAAGCCTTGAGTGTGCTTGTATATGTATTAACGTCTTCTGTACTGGTTAGTTTCCTGATAGAGGATTTCAGAGATTGAGGATCTGAGGTTTTTTATCTTTGCTAGCTGGTACAGTAGAAGTGACCTTTGAGCTTGGAAGATAAAGGTCTTTAGAACAATAAACTGCGTTACTTAGGTCTGAATAATGTCTGTTCAGATTGGTCGAACTTTCACTTCAGACTGCTGTACCCTCTGGGACAGATATCACTTACAGAATATTTGTATTGTGTGACCATGAATGGCTCTTATTCAAATAATATTGGGGAGTGAACAGGAATTCCCCACTCTCTGTTAAGCCACTGGGAACAATTTTTTTTATCTATGGCATCCTCATACTTTTTGGCAGACTAAATGGCTGTCCAGGACACAAAAATCCAAAAGCTGATATGCATACAGTAATTTCATTTTTCTATTAAGCTGAAGAAAAGAAAAATGTAAACAAAATAGAGAGGCTCAGTGGGTGCTGGGACTTGGATAATTTGACACAAAATTTTATTTTGGCATTATAGATACAAGACATGAGTGGATGGTATCTGACTGACATACCTGGTCACCTTCGAGTTACACCTCAACAGGATAGATTACCTCAGCGGCTTAGCATCAGTAATGTGGCTGCCAGAAGAGTGCTGCCACCAATATATTACTGGAGTGCACCCAGTCCTTATTTGGGCAACAAAGTAAGTGCATATGGTCATTGCATGTATGATAAATTGATTTATAGTTAGGGAAAGTTGAAAGAATTTTTCTTTAGTCCCTCTTAGAGAGAAGATTAAATTGGATGGATATTTGACCAGCATAATTGCTTGCTGAAAAGAACTGAATTACGCATGCAGAGAAACTTTATGAGACACAAAGCATCAGGGGAAAGCAGAATAAACTATTTCAGTTCTGAGACCTCATGAGTTGCTTGCTGTCAGGTCTTACTGAACCTCAGATAATTTGCAGTGTTATCTCTCAAATGGATTTGCTGGCATATGGATATATGTTTCAGGTTGCCCTCTTCTCTTTCCACCTTGTTCTTGGATATGAAAGGCTGTTCCCTTTCCTACTTTTTATAAATGTAAATTGTATATCAGATGTTATGAGTTAGGTTACAAAATTCAATGCTTGTCTACGGAACTCTGCCCCTGAACTGAGAAGATGCTGTGCTAAAGTTTGTGCCAGTTTTATGTTTATCTTTATTCAGGTCCACTTACTCCTCTCTCACACACACACATAAATATGTAAACACACAAGTATCTGACCTCTGAAGGTTACCGCACTAAAATCTCTGGAAATCTCCTGTTTTCCTTAATGATTTGAGTATCAGACTTGCTGTCCAGAGACTTTCTGTTATCAGATGAGGTGCACTCTTAAAATGAGTTTTCTGTCAGTCTTTGAAATTGAGGACTGTGTTCAGAACTTGAGCTTTTTTCTGGTTATGGTGAAGTATTTGAAACTGTAGTGTGCTTCAGCACATTTTCCATTCTAGTCTCTTCAGTCTTGCCTGCCTATTTTTTTCCTGTTGGCTGGAAATCAACATGACAGAAGGTAAGTGAGCATGTGAAGATTAAACAGGATCATTTCCAAAGAATGTGAGCATTTTCTATGTGGCTATGAGATGCTTAAAGCAAAACCCATTCAGCTGGGGTAAGGGACATTTTTTTACCTTCCACACATAGTGAACTTTTCCTGTACTTCAGTAAAAACTTTGCACAGCCAAACTTCTTCCTTTTCCATTCAGTGAACAAAATAATGGGAAGACTTTGTGCAAATTGTCTGAACATGGAAGGCATTTTTCAGTGTAATTTGGAGGTCCTTTGTGGTTTACTGTCAGACATTTCTGTATGAATGAAACAATTTGCCTTAATAACTGAACCATATAAATTTTTGATACTACAGTAATACTGAAAGCACTCACAAATTACCACAGTACATCTTAACTGTCATGTTACATCATGTAAATTATAGTCATGATGACATTCTTAGCTTGGATGATTTAGTGTATTGCTATGGAAATGGAGTATTGCACATTCTTATTTGTAAACTCAATAAAACATTTCTCTAAATAGCTGAAACTGGATTAAACCAGCCCTTCTCAACTATGCCTCCTAGCTGTGTTACAAGTATAATAATTTCTTTTTAAGGTGGGTGTGTTTACCTAAGAATGTAAGTCTTAAAAGTATGCTGAGGAAGGTTTTAACAAGTGTTATATCCGTACATTTAAGTTTACTGTAATCTGTAATTCTGGGGTCCATTCTACAATTTCAACCCTCTTTCTTTTAATCTCTAGCTATTTCATTAAAAAGTTTTCTCTAAAAATAACTTTTGAGTACAACACGGTGACAAATATCCCTCTATATCAGTATTTCTCAAAGTGGTCCATAGACCCATTCTGGGAAAGCTGCAACTGGGCCGCTCCATTTTGTTTACTTAGTGGCTCTGCAGCCACAGAGCCTTGATTCCCCCATTGGCAGTGGTTCACTGTTTGCACCCAAGGGGAGCTGTGGGTAGCAGTGGCCTGGGTCACGCCACTTCCCGCGGCTCCCCTTGGCTGCAAATGGCAAACCACAGCCAATGTGAGCCGTGAGGCTCTGTGGCCGCGGAGCCAGTAAGGAAACAAACTGGAGTAGCCTGGTAGCAGCTTTTTCAGAGTGGATCCACATACCACTATGAGAATCACTGTTTTGTATTGAAAGATCCTAGTTTTCAACATAACACAAGACCCTTATTTGAAAGGCTTCTTCTAACATAAGGCTGGCATGTTGTGCGTACGTCTCCAAAATACTGATTGCCACATATTTTCAATCTGCATGTTTTTGACCTACCTATAAGTGGTGCTGTCAAATGACAAAAGTGTTATAAAAAGGGATTGTACTGAGTTTGTAACCCTGAGCTTTGCTTAAGAATGAATGACACGGCAGTTAAATGATATTTTTCTGTGACAGATTCTAGTTTCTCTAAAAATGTTGGGCTACAAAGTGAGCACCAAGAGGCTGTAGGTCACTCCATTAGAATTCTTCTTTGTATGAAAATGACTAGAAGATTATGGGACAAGAATGCAAGAAAATTATTGTAACATCTTGATGGTTTTTATTTTTCTAAACAACCAAAACACTACTATATCACTACCAACATGGCAGAAGTTAGAGGAAATTTTACCAAATTAAACACACAAAATAGATGCTGTCCTTCGGTTATATAACATGCAGATTTTTGAGTTTTTTAAAACCAAAGTTAGAGTTTTCTGATTCTTGCTTTAGCTTTTATTGGTTTACAGTAACAATCTGAAGGTTTGGTTTAGTCTTCAAGTAGAGGGATGTTATTTGGATTATTTTGAAGCAATATAATTTGGGAACTACTGGATTATTTTAATACAAAGGAAGTTTACACCAGGTTGCTGTTAAGATTTAATAGGGTTCTTATAATAGCTTTTCTGTCCGTCTTAGGGCTGCCATTTTCATTCTAGATTAAGGCACTCGTAATTACTTGGTAACACAGTTCTGTAAGGATATGTCTAAATGTCTAGACATTCCAGCTGGGGCGGGCTACAATTTAAGCTTTGGATCATCCCAAGCTCACAGGATCCTAGAGTCCAGCCTGAGCTTCAACATCTCTACTGCAATTAAATAACCCCTGAGTCCAAGCCCCATGAGACTGAGTCAGTTGGCATGAGCCAACTGTGGGTTTTTAATTGACATACCCTAAGAGCTCCTGCCTAGTAAAGAAAGTGCTTTTGTTCTATTAAACATAGATACGTATTACCTATTGTAAAGATTCTTTTGGTAAAACTGCCTTTAACAATTGCTTCTGCTAGGAATTATTTTTTACTCTCTTTGAAAGAAAAGTGGATAAGTTAATATAATTTTGTCTTAAAGCTCCAAGTGCCAAAAATTTGAATTAATGCTACAGTTTTATCCATAACTCTTTCCACTATGCATAGATATTATCCTTCTGTGTAGACCCCGAAAGAATGGCTGCTTTAATGTTTTGTCTGATCTATATCAGCTGTGCAGCATAAAGGAGTAAAGGGAATAATTTAGCCTTAGTTTTATTCCATTAGTAGGCTTAATCTTTAGGGCTAAATTTTAAAACATTTGCATCTCAAGGTGTTTCTGAAAAAATAATGTGCAGCTACACCAAAGAAATTGCACAAGCAAATGGATAATTGTAGATGGACAAATAAATTATCTGATTCTCCGATGTGAGATGTATAATATAACATCATGGTAAAAATGCTATAACTTTAAGACCCTGTGCTGTTTGGTATTATTATGCAGTCAAAATTCCTTTTGACCTCAATGGAAGTTTTGGCTTTGAAAAAGATTGCAGGTGCAGCTTAGTGAAATCTGTGCAGTGGCACTTCACCATGATTTAAGGAAAAACAAAAATAGTGTAAGTTTCTTACTATTCTATGTATAACAGAGCTGTATGCTCTATTTCATTCCATGTATTTTCATTTTTGGTGCAGTTCTGGTGCAAGAGACAGAATGCAAAAGAAATTGCAGAATACAGATCATACAGAACCGCCCTCCCAATAAAGCTGCATGTATAATACAATGATGGACTGAAACAGAAACACCAAGATCAATTGTCCTAAATTATTAATGCCTCTAGACCCTCAAAACTCTATCTAGTATTCCTATGGTTGAGCTTCAGATAGCAAAAATTGGAGTCTGTTTCTAGATCATGAGACACAATAACTGCAATTTGATACCAGAGTATGAAAACATTTCGGCTTGTTTTCCCTGCAAGACTGAGAAAGGAAAGCAATCTCTGCTTTACAGTTCTTGATGGTTGAGATGACAAAATGCTATTGGAAGCTAATTTTTTGATAATCTTTTCTTTTGAGAGTTGCTGGCACTTCTTGGAAAACCTCAAATGTTAACAAATAACATCGATAGCACTGTTGGATGTCATAACTGGCCTAGTGAATTTTGTTGAAATATTTATAATTCTAGTTTCCCTAAGACACACACACACACAACACCCTTTTTAGTTTACTTATTTATCAATTCTGATAGATAAAATGTTATATATTTATTTACAATGATGTAAAATCAAATGGGTATACAGCAAGGTGTATATGATTTAATTATGTTTCAAATTTGACATACGAATTTATTTTTTTAATTTAGATTTGTATAAAATTCAAATGTATAACTGTATTCAACAACTTCTTAATGTCAGCTGTTAAGTAGATACAGAGGGGTCATAGGGATTTCCTGTGTCTGGCAAACACAAACAGTCACACTGTAGGACTAGAAGGGACCTTAATAGATCATGTAGTTGAGTACCTGACAAATGTTTCTCTACCCTAGTCTTAAAAATTCATCAGTGATGGATAATCTCCTTAGGTAAGTTGTTGCAGATTTTTATTACACTTATACTTCAAAAGTTTTTCCTAATGTCTAGCCTAAATCTCCCTTGCTGCAATTTAAGCCCATTAATTCTTGCCCTGTCCTTAGTGATTAAGGAAAAAAATGTATTACCTTCTCTTTATAAAATCCTTTTAGAACCTTGAAGGCGGTTATCATGTTTCCCCTTGGTCTTCTCTTCTCTAGACTAAACAAACACAGTTCATTCAGTCTTTCCTTGTAGGCAGCCCTGCTGACAAGGATGGGGGGTGGGAGGCAAAAGGGGCAACTGCCTCGGTGATTAAAAATGGCCCAGGGCTCCTGGCCTTGCCAGTACTATC